TCACCCCTTCACCCATGCACATCTGTCCACACGACCTTTGGCCTACTATTGGGTAAGGAATGATGCAAAGGAAAAACACTAGGGACTTCCTTCTCCTTCCCTTTCCCTCTGCCATCCTTTTTGGTGTAAATAATTAGCTGATACCGGGAGAAAGAAAGGAATGCGAAGGTCCTGCTTATTCGTGTTTCTTAGACCACCATTGCCTTTCTATGCTGGAAGTAGATTCCGGTTCAGTTGGAAAGCATGTCCTCTGAGAACTGTCAGCACCTCTACCTCCTCAGCTGTTAGATGAGGATGCTTTTCTTGCACTTGGTGGAATCTCCATGAATTCCTGGGATTGTGGGGATTCTGTTCTCATGGGATATCACAGACATTACATGTCAATAGGGTGGCAAGAAACAGCCAACATTGCATCTCTGATCCACTGTCCCATGGCATTCACTTTCCAAATACAGTTCAAAGAATTTCAAAGAGTGACAGCGGAGCATTGAACCAAGGACAGGATCCTTCTGAGCATAGAGCCCTGTGTGACAACACAGGCCACAGGCCCTGGCCCTTCTAGGGTTATTGCCATCAGCCGAGCTTTGTGTAAAACCAGATGGGGAGCCTGCTAATCAAGTATTTCCAGGACCTAACTTCAAGGATTCTCATGTAAGTTCTAGAATCTGTATTTTTTTAGCCAAAACCAGTTTGGCTCAGTGGTAGAGCATCGGTCTGCGGACTGAAGGGTCCCAGGTTTGATTCCGGTCAGGGACATGTACCTTGGTTGTGGGCACATCCCCGGTAGGGGGTGTGCAAGAGGCAGCTGGTCGATGTTCCTCTCTCATCGACGTTTCTAGCTCTCTATCTCTCTCCCTTCCTCTCTGTAAAAAATCAATAAAATATAGAATTTGTATTTTTTATAAGATCTCTGTGTGGTTGGGATGGATGTCTAGGTTTGCAAAACACCCGCTAGAGAAATCCCAAGCCCTTAAAATATGTCCACCTGCCCTAGCTGGTTTTGCTCAGTGGCTAGAGCATTGGCCTGCAGACTAAATAGTTCCAGGTTTGATTCAGGTCAAGTACACATGCCTGGGTTGTGGGCTTAATCCCCAGTAGGGGGTGTGCAGGAGGCAGCCGCCCAATGATTCTCTCTCATCATTGATGCTTCTATCCTCTCTCCCTCTTCCTTTCTTTCTGAAATATCTGTAAATATATATGTAAATATATATATGTAAATATATATATATAGTTCTGCCACCTACCAGTTCTCCACCTGGAAGGCATAAGTCTGGAGTGGAAAGAGTAACAAAGGGAAGGAAAACAACCCTGATAGAGCCATGGGTTGTAAATAAACACTAGCACCATGCTACTGTACAAAGGCATGTCTGTGGTTCCCTGTCTTTGGACAAATAAGAGGCAAAGAAATGTTGATCTGGAGAAATCTGCAGGCTCAAGGCCAACCATCCCACATAGGGGAAGAAGAAAAAAAGATGCTGTCATCTGCTTGAGAGTCTGATTGGCTCCCTGGCTCTCTGATGCCCACCCCTTGCTCTGTAAGCAGAGGTGTCTGTGCACTGACTTCGGCCTCTTTCCCCAGGCTGCTCCTGTCTGAGGCCCCCAGCCCTGGGACCGACCCTGCCTTTCCACCTGGCTCTTTCAGCCAGCTTCTTCGGAACCACCTTCACCTTCTCCCTCTTCCTCAACTCTTCACTCCAAGTGGATCTGGTCTTTCAAATTTTCCTGCCAGATCACACACTGTTGCCTTGCCTGCTCCCTTAGCCTCTGCTATTGTGCTGAACAAGGTAAAGGAGAGAAAGACCTGCAGGCGGTGTAGGGGGGTGGGCTGCCTAAGGCACTGGAAAGCAGAAGACAGAAACATCATTAGGCATGTTTAAACTCTGCCTCTGTTTTTCTGGTGACTCTGCCCTAGACCCTGCCTTGACAATCTTGCCTCTTGAGTTTCTTGAATGACCTTTCAATGAGACTCCTTATCTGCTTCCATGTCTTCCCTCAACATGGCTTTGAGATTCCTTTAAAATTCAGCTCTAATATAAATCTCTTATTCAAAATCTTTTCATGGTTCCTGAAACTCTCGAGAAAAAAAAATATTTAAATCCTTTATTGTCCGATGTTAGGCCCTTAAAGAGACGGCTGTTTCTGTCACGGACACGAAGTGCCCGCCAGGCCCCACGCTCAGCAGGTCTGGAAGCACCTGTTCTCTGCTCTCCCGGGGCTGTGGCAATGTGCTTCCCCCTGCTCTGAGCTTCAGCCCTGCCCCTTTCCTCATCCACCAGTCAATTCTTGTTTGTCGTTTTATGAGCTGGCTAGAAATCAACTTAAAAATCACCTCCTTTTCAATTTCCCAACCCTCCTCTCCACCCCATCTTAATAACCGTCCCCCGTTACTGCTTCTCCTCTGCTCCCCATGGCACTTTCAGACCAACCTCCTGTGTCCTCCCAACCAGGCTGCGAGGACCTGGAGGAGGAGAATGCGGTTCCTGCAGGAAGGAGGCTGTCAGCCACTGGGGACAGAAGGAGTGGCAACAAGACCCGAAAGAAGGGTGGCGAGAATAAATCTGCTCTCCCACCACCTCACAGCTCAGTGGGCAGAATACTGTCCCATGCCTACCCCCTAGACCAGTGGTTGGCAAACTGCGGCTCGACAGCCACATGCAGCTCTTTGGCCCCTTGAGTGAGGCTCTTTCACAAAATACCATGGCCTGGGCGAGTCTATTTTGAAAAAGTGGCGTTAGAAGATGTTTATGTTTAAAAAAAAAAAAAAAATGGCTCTCAAAAGAAATTTCAATCGTACTGTTGGTATTTGGCTCTGTTGAATAATGAATTTGCCGACCACTGGACTAGACCATTGGGAGAACAATTCGGATGCCCACCAGAATTTCTCAAAAAGACCACAGACCACTCGCCTATCATTCTCCTCTCCAGCCCTCTCTCCCTAGGGCTTCTACATCTCCACAGCTGCCTGAGAGGCTGTCTCCAATCTCTCACGGAGGTTTTCTCCTTTCTGCCTAACCGCCTTCCTGAATCTATGCTTCCTCCTGGGAGCTCTTTACACTTAAATATACAACCCAGATAGCCTGCTGCAGCATTACAGGTGGAAAGAAATCACAAAAGAGATGAGAGAGGAGAGAGAGAGAGAGAGAGAGAGAGAGAGAGAGAGAGAGAGAGAGATTGATTTGCTATTTGTCCCCAACGTGCTTACACAGTGGCTCTCCACCTTTGTTGTATATTAGATTCACCAAAGGAGCATCCAAAAATAACTCAGCTCAGGGACCAGGGAAGAGTTATTAGAAAAACAGAGGCAGAGTTCAAACATCTCTAAATGATATTTCTTTTCTTTTTTTTAATCCTCCCTCAAGAATAATTTCCCATTCATTTTTACAGAGTGGAAGGGAGGGAAAGAGACAGAGAGAGATAAACATCAATGTGAGAAAGCTTGCTTCCACATACGCCTCAACCAGGGCTGGGGATCAAGCTCTCAACTGAGGTAGGTGCCGGAATCGAACCTGGGACCCTTCAGTCTACAGGCCAATACTCCATCCACTGAGCCAAGCCGACTAAGGCTAAATGATATGTCTGTCTTCTGCTTTCCAGCACCTTTGGGAGCTCACCTCCATACACTACCCCAGTCCTGCTGGTCTTTCTCTCCTTTACCTTGATCAGCCCAATGGCAGAAGCCAAGGGAGCAGACAAGGCCCCACCCTTAGCGTTACAGGAGAGGGTTGGGGGGAGGGCGCTGTACATATGATAACAAATTCCATCCATGTCCCAGAACTCACTCCTGTTTTCTGCCTTTTCTTTCTATGGGGTCCTTACATTCTTCTTCCAAGCAGAAGTCCTTGCTTCAATTCCCTACCTGCAAGCCTCGGTATAAAGGTCTACAAACACAGCTTTCAGAAACCGGGGGATTTTTTTTTTTTTTATCCCTTTTCCCTGTCAATAGATCTTTTGCCCCCACCTAGTTCTAGAAGCTCAGTCTTTGCCTAGGTGTGTTCTACCACCTACCAGTGCTTCACCACCTGCCAGGTCTTATACCCTTAACCATCCCCGGCCTTCCTAATGCCACCAAAACTACTGCTGGAACCTCTCCTGGTCCCTGAGGCTAAGTCTCTCTCAGCCATCTCCCTTTTTCCTATGGGTCTCTCTCAGCGGTATCCTGGATTCTCCGGGCACTGGAATTCCCTGTGCTGGAGGGGGATCTGCACTAATGGGGGAGAGAGAGAACAAGAGCACAGAAGCAACCCATCTCTTCCTAGTCGTGGTGGCATGGCCAAGAGCTTTTGCAATAGAACAAAGATAGCATACCCCGAGCAGCTATAGAAATAGATCTTCTTTATCCTCCCCTCAAACCATGGAGAGAATTTCAAAGCCGATGCTAGGTTTCTCCATCGTTTGAATCTTGTTAACTACCAGAGCAGCTTTACTCTTAGAAAGACCTACTCATTGTACAATGTGCACGAAATTTCACCAGACAAAAAAAGAAAGAGCTTTTCTTTTTTTCTTCTAAAATATATTTTATTGATTTTGTACAGAGAGAAAGGGAGAGAGATAGAGAGTTAGAAACATCGATGAGAGAGAGTCATCGATCAGCTGCCTCTTGCACACCCCCTACTGGGGATGTGCCCGCAACCAAGGTACATGCCCTTGACCAGAATCGAACCTGGGACCTTTCAGTCTGCAGGTCGATGCTCTATCCATTGAGCCAAAATGGTTTCAGCAAAGAAAGAGCTTTTCATTCCAACTTTTTAGGTATTAATTATATCCCTGGGTGACGAGAATCCTCGTGGCTTAAAAAGGAAAACACCTCTTGGTGCTCAGACAGTTTCCATGGGTATGAATATAACTATGGGCAGTCACACACATGCCCAAGTGCTGAGGAGAGGCTGGACATGTTCAAACTCCCTGCCCTGCTCTGTAACTCAGAGGCAGCCAATGAGATGAGGCTGGCTGGGCTGCTCAAAGCCCTCTGGTGAGGGTGCCTCCTGATCTTCTCATTCCAGGGCTGAACGGCCATGACTCCCTGGCAGTGGGTTTGTGCAGCAGCCGTGTGGTATACAGTTACAACCTGGGCTTCGGTGTCGCAAGTCTCAGCAGCGATCCTCTTGATCTGAGCCTTGGGATGCACATGGTCCGTCTGGGGAGGCGCTTTCGAATGGGCTGGCTGAAGGAAGAGTCATCCCTTCATCTGCTGCTCAGATTTCTCGGTGCCAGTGCAGAATTTGGGCGGGTCTGTGAGAAGGCCAGAGGCCATGCCGCATGCCCCCACGAAGTTCACATAGGGATGATGTCAACTAAGTGACATGGGAATAGGTAAGGGGGTGTGTGTGTCTGATATAAATAAGAAGAGAGAACTCATTCAGAAGATGCTTCCCCGAACAGGTGATGTGTGAGCCTAACTGGTAATAAATAGAAGTTTGGAAAAAGAGCAGCCGCCAATGTGGACTTCAAGAACACAAGTAGTTCTGTGTGGCTTTCAGGTGAGGGGAAGCAAGAGATATGTGATTAGAGGTAGACAGGGTCTGAACCATCAAAGGACTTAGATGTCACGCTAAGATTCCATCTTTATCCAGGGAGCTGTGGAGAAGGACTGGGAAATTTAAGAAGGGGGTTAGGCACTATAGTTGGTTTCCACTTTCGGATAATTGGCTCTGGGGGTTGTATTGAAACTGGATGTGAGAGGGAGGCAAGGCTAGAAGGAGGAGGACCAGCAGGTTGCCGGCTCCTACGTCTTTGAAGAACTGTGATCTTGAGTGAAATGCAAAACCACCACTGCTATATTAATATATCCATGGTAACAGACACCAGCAGAGAAGCAAGGAATTGAGTGAAGTGTTTATTTCCTCAAAATTCAGGTCTTTGTCATGCCAAGTTAATGGGAAATAAAAAAGAGTATCTTAGCAGTTCACTCTAGGGAATTAATTCCTTTCTTAATAGGTTTTGATTTTTTTTTTTTTCCTTTTGGAGGTAGATGATCATAAAAATACATCCATCACCTCCCCAGGAAGACTGGTTGGCATCAATGTCTTCAGTCAGTTTTATGTAGGTGGCTACGGTGAGTACACTCCAGCTCTCTTGCCAAATGGAGCCGATTTTAAAAATGGCTTTCAAGGTAAGGCATGGGTGATATTTATACTATACCTGCTTATTTCAAAACTTATAAAAATAAAAAAATGTTTAAGGAGTATACTTCTAGTTCCCAAACCAGCAATTTGGATTGCTTTCTGATTGGACTTGACCAAAGTTTTATTTTAAAGGAAAGCATTTATTCTTATTAATCACTTACTATCTATGTGCTAGGTGTTTGGGATGTTTCAGTGAAAAGAAAAGAAAAAAACAAACAGATTTTTATACTTGTGAGTTTACATTCTAGTTGGTCAAAAGAGGGAAGAGATAATAAACACCACATATAATAAATAAGGAAATTATATAGTGGTATAAGGTGATAAGTTCTGTGGAGCACAAGAAAGGAAAAGTCGAATGTGAGTAGTTTGTTATATAGGGGAATTTTTAATATAGGGTAAGTAGTGTCGACCTCATAGAGTCACAGTGAAAACTGAAATTCCAGCCAACTTTGGAATGGAGTTGATATAAAAGATGAATGACAGACTGCAGCCAACTAACCCATGCCACCACGGTGTGCTCCCACTGAGGCCACCAGAAGCCAAGAGGATTAAGACCCAATTCCAGGCCTGGCCAGTGTGGCTCAGTTGGTTGAGCATTGTCTCATGCACTGAGATGTCACTGGTTCAATTCCCTGTCAGGGCACATGCCCTGGTTTCGGGCTCACTCCCCAATAGGAGCCCTGCAGGAGGCAGCCAATCAGTGATTTCCTGTGTTAAATGTTTCTCTCTCCCTCTTGCTTCCTCTCTCTCACTCTAAAAATCAATAAAATTATATTTTAAAAAAAGAAAAAAGACCCAACACATGCTAGGGTAAATTATCAGATCACCATCATCTGTTTCCTGTGTTCCAAAAGGAACATACATTCAGATCTTTAAAAAAAAAAAAAAAAAAAAAGTGATTTATAAAATAAACATGATTTGAATTGTTATAATAATGCATTTAGTGAAAATAAGCTTTTTGGTGGATCCCTGGTCCCAGGATATTCGGTCAAGGGGCTGCTCAGTATAGTACCCTGAGCCATTCTCCCATGACCAGCCTAATCTCCATCTAAAATCAAGGAACAGGTACCAGGATGTGATGCAGGACCCTGTGAGACATCCAAAGCCCTCTCAGGCACTTGAGCTCTCTGCCTGCCTGGCATCATCTCCTTCCCCACCTTCACAGACTTCTGCCTAAACACTGACGCAGGAGGCCACGCACTTGAAACATATGAAAGCAACACAGCTAATCCAACATAATACAAGGGCGGGTTTCAATACAAGTAGTTCATTGTGCCAGGGCTCTCAAAGAAATGTTTTCTTTGACTATGTAATCAGTGCTGATTCTCAGAAGGGTGTATTAAACAGTTTGAAGCAAGTTAAGGCACTATGCTAAATATAATCGAGAGCTCAATAGTTCTTTCACAGCAGGAGACCGTCTGGAAAGGATTGTGAGGGCATCACAAATCAATGAGTTTTTAAAAACATTCGGTTCAAGGACAAGGATGGGTAAACTTATGAATGTGTAAGAAGCACACATCTTCCATTCACTGAAACAGAGACCCCGTTGGAGAGTCATCAGAACTTGCTGTCATTTTATCACAGACAGGATACTGACATAAATAGTCTGGGTACAGCATCTATATATATAAAAGCCTAAGTAACTGTTACGACTGGACAGCTGGATGACCAGCCGGTAACTGTGACATGCACTGACCATCAGGGGCCAGACACTCAATGCAGGGGCTGCCCCCTTGTGGTCAGTGCACTCCCACAACCAACCTCCCGCGGTCCCTCCCCGGGCCAGCTGGCCCCAATTGGCCCCATTCGGAACTGGGCTAGATGGCCCCAATTGATGGCCAGGCTGAGGGACTCCCCCCATGCACGAATCTATGCACCGGGCCTCTAGTTAAGAATAAAAATGTGGGCTCTGGAACCCATCTGCCTGGGTATGCACCTCTGCCACCAGCAAGCTTCATGACCCTGGCTAGTAACCAAACGTCCCTGTGCCTTGCTGTGCCTCATCTATAAAATAGGATAATAGCAGCACTTGTCTTGCTTGTAGTTCTGAGAGCAAGTTAATGGAAAGAGACCAAAGATTACTACCTGGATTAGAGTGCTCCCTGTGTGAGTGATGATGGTGGTGCTGGTGGCGGAGGTGACATAGCTGCGGTCACACACTTGCTTCTCTTTCTCTTCTGCACAGACGGTGGGTAAGAAAGAGCACAGGCTCTGCTGTCAGGCTGTCTTCAGATTCGGGTCCTGTAGTCCAGCAGCTACGTACGTCCCTCTGAGCCTTTTACTTCAACTCTTCAAACCTCCATTTTCCCTCTGTAAGATAAAAATTCCTGCCCCATAGGCTTCTTGTGAGTTGATCAATTAGCTAAAGCAATGTTAAGTGCTCAACCCAGAGAGCAGCGCCTGATAAACACTCAATGAATGTTAACTGATAGTGGCACTCCATCCTATTGTCCTTGGACTGAAGTTTTCAGATTTACTGGAGTCCAGAGCTTCCTGGTTCCCTTGTGCTATTTTCTCCCCCTCTACTAGGCACTTTTCCTCACAGCTTGATAATGAGAACAAAGAGAGGCTTTCTTCAAAACCTGTCATTTTCCCCTTACGGGTGTTGTGAGCCTGAGGTCAGCACTCAAACAGCTGGCCCTCCTGTCAGACAAACTCAGGATTGCAGGTCCTGAAGGCTGTCAGCAGCCATTGTCCTCAGGTAGGATGCGGATCTTGGGAGGGTCTTCTTGGAACTTGACACTCAATCCACAATCTTACCAAAGCTCTGGGACCTAATTTTATCATTTGACTCTTGAATTCTCTCTGTCTGCCTGCCTCTTCTCAATTATAAATCAGCATTTTCTATGAACTGTAGGTTGTGGACAGTCATTACCAACCTACCATAAATACCAGATAAATCGTAAACCTATGCTTTCCCAAAACTGAACTCTGCTGGTTCTAGAGAAGGATATAGGGTGACTTCTTTAAAATATAGACTTCTGAACCCTACCAGAACTACTTAGTCAAAATCTCCATAATGGGATCTAAAAATTTGCATTTCAAGTAAGCCTTCCCAGATTTGAAATCACTACATTAATTAATCATAACAAAGCAGAGTTATGGCGGAATTTAGTAATTAGCCTGGCCTTAGCCTAATTATTAAATTCTAACATCACTAGCACAAATAAATAAAGCCTACTTATTTCTCTTTAGAATGGGGATTAAATCACACTAAGTACAAGATTATCTGATTTAGGCTTTCCCGTTTCTATAAACACTGCAGATAAACAAGTCTAAGCCAGAACTCCTCAGTCTGAAATACAAGTCATTACCGTTAATGTAGTCCATTTGTTTCTGTTCTGGAAATGGCTTGTCATGAGTCATTATTTTCCCTATAACCTTTAATGGTGATAAAGATATTGACGTTTTTTAACTCTTCTACAGATTAAATCATCTACGTATGCCAAGCTAAAAAGTCATTCCTGATCACCTGTCTTAGTAAAGGGAATTCTCCCCTGTTCTCCAAAGTGGCATCTATTACCAAGCTGCAGGCTCTCAGGTTGAGGGTCAGGGATGGGCTTTAGTGGGTTCCTGAGTGTGATGAAATCATGCATGCAAATGTGTGTGCATTTTTCTAGGAGAAGGCCTATAGCTTTCCTCAGTGTTCTAAGATCTGTTACTTTCACTGACTGGCCTATTTAATCCTGACATAGAATTAAAAATTGCTTTTGATGAGTGTGAACATGGGAAATCTATTATCCCATCCATCTGTTCTTCTAGTGTTATAGCAGCTAGTGTTCTCTGATACAGGGATTATTAAATATTTATTACTTAACTGAACAGAGTGGACATAAAATAGATTCGAATTCATTAACAACACCATAAGGATGTTATTCCAACCTGAAAGTGCCCTACACTGTCAGTACAGTCAGTTTCTTTAGTTCAACTTTTCTCCCTTTCTCTTTTTTAATTGCATGAACTTTTTCAAACCAGAGTCAATAAGGAGGGAAAATAAGTTTACTGCAATAATTTAAATATCATTTTACTGTCCAGAAAAAAAAAAGAAGCCATTACTTATTTGAAATCTAGTATGTTTGACTAGGTTTCAAATATGCACATGGCTCATGGCTCCAAAAATCTTTATCATAATTACTCTAACACCTGCAGGATAGATGAGGTGAATACCTGCTGCATGGTGCTGTACTAAGCAGATTTTATTTCATCTTCAATATTAATAGGAGTGAAGTTTCACAATGTACCTTCTACAACTGGCTCCCACTATAATTGCCTTCAAACTGATGATATGTTGACTGAAAGGAAGTATCTCTCTAAAATAAACACATGTAACTAATTGTATTTGCTAAATGTTTCTCTACATATATCACTGTTGGGTTTTTAGTCAAAGCATGTTTTAGCAGTTCCTCATAACAAAATTATGTCTTATCCATATAAAAGGGGAGAGGTTTTATATGAACAGTTTCAGACATTAATATATATTATAATCAGTTAGCCAAGTGGTGTTTGTTGTTGTTGTTGTTGTTGTTGTTGTTTGGTGCATGATTATAAAAACTACAAAAACCTAGTACTAGGATCCTACAATATTTTGTTAAGAGAAGTTTTTATAAAGTAAATAAAGAATTTCTGAAATAGTGAGGAAGGGGGTCTGGGTGGGAGGTGAAATATAAGGTCTAACTGCCAATCATGATATGGACCAGTTTATGTATGTGACTTTATTCCTCTTAACCCACACAGTACTTATTTTTGTCCCCATTTTAAAGTTAAAAAGGTTGGCACTTAGTTAGGTTTGGGTCATTTTGTGAGAGAGATTGTAATTGAACAGGGACCCACCTGACTTCAGTCCTCCTTTTTGCTCTCTGCTGAGCACATTTTGCTAGGCAGGGGCATGAAAATCCCTACTGTGTTAGTTGAGCTACTTGGTTATTCCATATAAAGCAGTTGGCATTCATTCATTCACTTCTTCACCCAGTATACCATATTAGTGCTTTTTTTGCATAATAGCAGTAGTTGGGTGAAGAACAAAAATTAAATCTAAAGAAGAAAATTACAGTACTCTTATGATAAGAAAAAATTGGTGCAGGCTGAGGATGGTGCTTGTCCAGGAGAACTAGGTTAAAAAGCAAATTCTTGACCTTTCAAAACAAAACCTTTTTTTTTTTTTTTCACTGTGAGGAATTACTTAAGACTTGCTTCAGAAAATGTTTTGGAAATAAAATATAATCTAGCCTATCTGTTATCATTTTCTAGACTCTATTTATGGTTGTTGTTAATATTGATTTGTAGAACATTGTAAATAAACTCCAAGTCCTGAAGGAACTGAGAAAAATTACAGTACAGTTCAGTCTCCTAAACAATTCCATTAGTTAGCTAATGGGCTGCCCTTTTTTGTTATGTTTATTTAATATTGGGGTGGAAAAGACCTTTCTTTTTTCCCAGCTTACTTTATGTGTAATTGACAGATAAAACTTATGTATATTTAATGTGTATAATGCAATGGTTTGGTATATTGTGCAGAGTAACACTATCAAGTCAGTGAACACCTCCATCATCCAATTAATAAAATTTTTAAAAGAACAATATGTTACCTTAAAAGTGAGAAAATAACTGTCTTTCTATTTTATCTATTCCCTCCATTTTTTATATGAAGTATTTTCCCTTTTCTTCAAGGTTGCATTTTCACCATTCGGATTCGCACCAGGAAGGACGGCCGTGTCAGAAAGCTGGGGAATCCTGAGGGCCACTCAGATGCTGGCGCAGTGTTGGTCAGTGTGACACTTCTCCTTGTAGCTTAATGAACTGTGGCAATGGAGGGACCTGCATAGACAGTGGAGCTACTGTTTAATAAGTATGGAATTAGGAAGGAAGGTTGCGGGTAATCAGCACACCAGCTGGTACTTCAGTAACACAGACTGACTCTCATATCTTAAATGTTTTCAGGTTGACTTGCTAGATGACTAGGGGACAGATAAAGGAAACTAGAGAGAAATCAACCTGGCATTTGCATCATCTACTTAATTCTTTTAAGTTTTTTTTTAAAATATATTTTATTGATTTTTTTACAGAGAGGAAGAGGAATAGAGAGCTAGAAACATTGATGAGAGAGAGTCATCAATCAGCTGCCTCCTGCACGCCCCTTACTGGGGATGTGCCCGCAACCAATGTACATGCCCTTGACCGGAATCGAACCTGGGACCCTTTAGTCCGCAGACTGACGCTCTATCCACTGAGCCAAACCGGATTCGGCTCTTTTAAGTTTTTAAAAATATATTCTTATTAGTTTCAGAGAGGGAGAGATAAAAACATCAATGATGAGCCCAGCTAGAGTGGCTCAGTGGCTGAGCATTGACCTATGAACCAGGAGAACATGCCCTAATGTTAGGCTCAATCCCCACTAGGGGGCATGATGAGGCAACATTGGATGATTCTCTCTCATTATTGGCATTTCTCTCTCTCCTTCCCTCTTCCTTCGTCCCTGAAATCAATAAAAATATATATTTTTAAAAAGAATGGGAAGTGTCAGTATGAAAGTGAAGGTGAAGGTGCAGGTAGGAAATTCATCCTAACTCCTTATTGTCCCACATGGAACAAAGGCCTAGCTATTTCAACATACACCTGTTGCCAGCAAGATGACAAAACCTCTGTTCTTGTCTTCCTGAAAGAAAGATTTCAATCAAGAGACAAAGTTCAGCCAAGCTAGCAAGAATTTGTTGGCCGCAGCAAAAATACACATAGGATAGATAGTGAGACAAGGAAAGGTGTAGAAGAAGCAACTAGAGAGCCTAGGCTGAGCTGCTTTGGCTCACAGGGAAGTCAGAGTGAAGGGGGCCTTGGAGACAGGTTAAGGGGTTAGCCCAGGACGAGCTGCCACTGCCCAACTGCTCCCTTGATTGCAAGATTTGTGGGGTCCCTTAGAGGTTAGGGGATATGTGGCTGTTGGGGGGATGAGAGGGAGGGGAACAGTTCAGGAGTGCTCCCTTGGGGGAGAGCGCTCACTGAGTTTTTTTGTGTTAGGGTATTTCTCTCTCTCTTTCTCTTGCAGGTGGGAATCTTAGAGGAGGTCTCAGGGGAGGATCTCAATAGAATATTCATCAGCTGTCCAGGTGTGCTTTTTCCAGGGTCTCCTTCTCCACTGATTGTTCTGCACCAGGGCAGGGGTCATCAGCCAGTGCAGCTGGTCCTGAGGCAGCCACAGCAGCGCTTGTCTGGCTTTGTTGCTTTTCTGGGCCTAGATGTTATCTTTAGGGAGGAAAAGGTCAGGGGGAAAGGATACTCTGAGGAGGAGGCTCTTGTTTTCCCAGTTTTGCCCCTTGCTACACACCCAGGGCTACAGCCCTGGCGACCTTCTGTACCTGACACATCATCCTTACTCTGCTCATGTCTGTCCAGCTGCTTATAAGAGAGCCACGTGTGTTGATCTTGGAATACATCAAGCCACATACAGATAGACACAACTATTTTAAGATTATTTTGATTCATGTAGGAAATTTTTTTGACTTGTGATAATAAAAGTAGTATCTTTCAATTGTATAGCACTTTGTGGCCAACAAAGCAACTTTCTGCATACATTATTTCCATTGCCCCTAATTAAAACTTTCTAAATTAGTCAGGGACCATCCTAGCCCCAATTTAATCTATGGGAAACTAAGCCCAGTGATTATGAGTAAACAAGAGGATGTACCAGCATCTTGTAAGGAGTGCAGCAGGACCCAAAAGCAAATTTCCCAGTTCCTGGGTCAAGATTCTCTCAGAACCTAATTAGCAAGAAATTAGTTTAAAAGCGGCTAGCAATTAACGGTAGCTCCTTATCAGCTGGATATAATATATTCTTTTTAAAATATGTTTTTATTGATTTTTAGAGACAGGTAGATATAGAAACATCAATGAGGGAAACATCATAGATCAGCTGCCTCCTGCACATCCCCTACTGGGGATTGAGCCCACAACCTGGGCCTGTGCTCTGACCGGGAATTGAACCAGTGACTTCTTGGTTTCTGGGCTGATGCTCAACCACTGAGCAACACAGGCCAGGCTCATTTATTCTTAATTTTTTTTAATGTTGACATCTTCAATTATAATAGCATTTGCTATTTTCCCCAAATTGGAAGCACCTTGCCTCATAAATCCCGAGGGAAGGGAGGGGTGTCATAAATTTATACTTGGGTGGAAAGCTGTATGAGAAGCTCAGGTTTCAGTAATGGAACCAATATCCCTGACAAGATTTCTTACAGGATTCTTCAATCTTTCTTATCAAATTATGACCACTGCCTGGGACTCCCTTGTTGACATAACAACAAAATATTTACTATATCGATGACTCATGAAGCATTATTGCAGAATGAGAAGTAGTTCTTGTGACTGTTATATAATGACGTTAAAAGGATGGCTCCCTGACCTTAAAAGAGATGGGTTTTATGGTATGTAATTTAGATCTCAATAAAGCTTTTTCAAAATAAGGTTCCCACTCATGGACATTCAACTTCAGTAGCTGCAAAAGTTTAAAGAGAATGTTATTCATTTTGAGTGTTTTGAATTCTTCTCTAATCTCAATAATAAGAATCCTGTTTTTGTTGTTGTTTTTTATTGAATTTATCCTTGTTTTTTAAGGAAAAAGATGTTCTTTGTAATATACTTTTTTTACACCGTTACATTTGTTTTGTTTTGTTTTTTAAATCCTTATTCGAGTACATGTTTTCCATTGTTTTTTAGAGAGAGAAAAAGGGAAAGGGAGAGACAGAGAAACATCCAAGTAAGAGAGACACATAGATCGGTTGCCTCCCACATGGTCCCTGCAAAAGAGATACATGCCCCTGACCGGAATTGAACCCAGGACCCTTCAGTCCACAGGCTGATGCTCTATCCACTGAGCCAAACCGGCTAGGGCTGTCATATACTTTCTAATAGTGTTTGGGAAGTTTTCCTCTACCCTTGTCCTAGTCCCAGGCTCTCAGCTTTGTATGGCTCTTCACTTTTACTTTGCCCCAGTGTGGGTACCCTACTCAGAGTACCCAGATGATCAGGGCCCATTTGCCATGCGCATGCGTGCAGGCGAGGACACAGCAGTGTTATCAGGTGAAAGGCCCCTTTAGGCTACCCAGGTGCGAGGGCAATGACTCAGGAGGCGCAGGAGGCATACTGCGCAGGCGCACCCTCCTGTAGCCTGTTTATGTTAATGTAGCGCGAGCATCACTCATTGGCAGGAGGCCGCGGGAGTTGGGCCGAGGATGTAAGCTGCCGCTGACCAGCCGGGCTCGGCGGCGTTTAGGGACACCTTGAGGGGCTCCCCTGTCTGGTGGCTCCACTGGGGTCTACAGTGAAGTCTCTTCTGTACAACATGCAACGGCTTCTCCTGTCTGCATCCAATACCCGGCGTCCGAGAAGCTGTGCTCCCACCACCGGAGAAATATGGAACTGAATTTCCAGGTAACATTATTGACAGCCCAAAGCTAAAATTCAGTCTTTTCTTGGGGGGAAAAAAATAATAATAACACATGGTAACTTTTTAATGCTCAAGAGGCAAGTCCCAGCCCAGAAGCATAAATTTCAGAATCAATTTTAAAAACAAACTCTCAAAGCCACTCAAAGTGTCTTAACAGCTCAATGGTATAATTTTTTCTTTAATTAAAAATGGAAAATGCTCATTTTAGTTCACTTCTCGCAGCAGCGGGGGCAGAGGGGGCGGGAGGAGGCATTGTTCTGGTACCTAAGGTGAAATCTTGTGCCAAGTAAGAAGGGAGGGGGGCTTGATAAGGCTTGGATCCGGGGCTGGGCTCCGGGAAACTGCTAAAAGCCCTGCTTTCCTGCTCCAAGTGCGTCAGCAGACGCAGATGCAGCTGCGCTCTAATGCAGCCGCTCAGCTGAGGGTATAATAAATCAGAGTTCACGTAAACCTGTGCTCCTGGGAGGCCTGAGCTCTGGTGCAACAAGCGGTAAAATCTTTCTGTTGTTAGTAACCTAGGCTAGAGAAGGCGGGGAGGCTGTTCAGTTCCAACTTAGCTCTATGTGAACATCTGTTTGGTACAAAGTGTTTTCAGGCAAATTTGACTTCATTTAAGTTGTACTTCGTTTGACCTTAAACTGATATCCTGGCTGTGATTGAGGATAATAGGTGACGTGTTCCTTTAAGAGTAAGCACAGTGTAGGAAAACCACAAGTTGCAAGAACAGATGTCAGAATGAGCAGCACAGGCAGTGAGGACAATAGTACAGAGAACATGGACGTAAAATGGGAAATGCATCAGAGATTTATACCACGTTCATAAATGAGGCTGATTTATAGCATAAGTCCATCAGCGAGCACGAAATCTCACTGCTCCAGAGTTTCCTAAACATTTTTTTGACTCACAGATAAGGTCAAAGATTTTTTCAAGATTCATGCAAGCACCAGCAGGAAAGAGTATGTTCTCAAAGCCTTGTCTTGTTTCCATGTAGACACTACACCGTGCATGCCTAAACGTAATAGTCAATTTCTTTGATATTTTACTAAATGAGCAAAGTCATTCACACATTAAGATATATCAGACTGGTTTGGCTCAGTGGATAGAGCATCAACCTGCAGACTTAAGGTCCCAAATTCAATTCTGGTCAAGGTCACATGCCCCGATTGCATTCTTGATCTCCAGTAGGAGGCATGCAGGAGGCAGCCGAACAATGATTCTCATTCTTTCTCTCTCCCCTCTATCTCCTTTTCCCTTCCTCTCTGAACTCAATAAAAATATATTTAAGAAATAAAAGACCAGACTATTTTGGTGCAGGGGAGGAGGTATATGCAGATAAGTAGTGGAAAGGTTTTGTTGATGGTGGTGATTTTGTGTGTTTTTTCCCAAGGGAAAGGAGCAAACCTAT